GGAGGAGGAGGGGACGAAAGAGCAAGAGGAGAAGGAGGAGGAGAGGGAGGGAGGGAGGGAGGGGGAGGAGGAGGAGAAAGAGAACGAGAAGAGGAGGAGGAAGAGCAGGAGCAGGAGGTGGAGGGGATGAGAGAAAGAGGCTGGGAAGAGGGAAGTAGGGCCCCTGCGGAGGCCAGGGCAGCGGGCAAGGCTGAGGACGCGGCAGCTGATGGCTCGTGTGGGAGGTGAGGCAAGACCCTTTCTACTCTTCCTCCTCTTCCTTCCTCCTCTTCCCCCCTCCTCCTCCTCCTCCTCCTCTCCTCCTCCTCCTCCTCCTCCTGCTCCTCCTCATCCTCCTCCTCCTACCCCTCCTCTACCTCCTCCTACCCCTCATCCTCCTCCTCCTCCTCCCTCCTCCTCCCTCCTCCCTCATCCTCCTCCTCCTCCTCCTCCTCCTCCTCCTCTCCTCCTCCTCCCTCCTCCTCCTCCTCCTCCTCCTCCTCCTCCTCCTCCTCCTCCTCCTCCTCCTCCTCCTCCTCCTCGTCCTCCTGCGCTTCCTCCGCAGTCAGCTCATGCTCCCCTTCCTCCTCTTTGGACTGGCCGAGACGGCAGCAGGCAGGCGGTGCGCGCGCGGCTACGAAGCGAGGGGGGAGCGGGGAGTCCGACTTAGCTTCACCCTCGCGACCCCGACTTTGGCGTTCCGTCTTCGGGAGCCGCCTTGTGGTGGGTGTGGCAAGGGCGGGCAAGGCAGTGATCGACCTCGTGTGGCCAGGGAGCCAGTGATAGGTCAGAACGACGAGGGCGAGGACGAGAAGGAGGAGGCGGAGGCAGAGGGAGAGAAGAGGTGCGAGGACGAGGCGGAGTGGATGGAGGAGAGGGAGGAAGACGGGGATGGGATGGGCATGGCGACGGAGATGAGAGTGACAATGACGAGAACGGAGGTGATGATGGGGACGGGGGCGGAGATGGCTTTTACCTCGCCTTTCGCTCCTGCCCTGCGCCGGTCCGGACCACCTCCATCTCGGCCCGCCAGCGGTCCAGCAGCGGATCGGGCTCCGGGGACGCCGGCTTCTGCCCCGGCTGCCGGGCCGACGCGGCCCGCGGCCGGGCAGCGAAGCAGCAGCGCTTCGCCTTCTTGCCCGAGCCGCACTGGCACGGCTTGTTGGCCTCCCGGGACCGGACCAGCGGCGCATCGTCGTCCTCCTCGTCCGAGCCGCCCCCTGCGAGCAGGCCGCCCTGCGGCAGGTCCACGAGGCCACCGTCGTCCCTGGCTGCGCCAGCCAGGTACTGGTCGCCCCGCTGCTCCCTGTCGAGCTGCTCCTTCGGGGCCCCAAAACCGTGCGGTGATGTACCGCGAGTCCCCCACGACCTCACCGCGCGGTCCGTCGCCGCACGGTCTTGGGACCTCGGAGGCCCTGGTCGCCCGAGACGTCCTCGGAGGAGCCGAGTGCCAAAAGCCGTGCGGGGACCCTGAATCCCCACTGGCTCACCACGCGCAGCGGTCACCGCACCGCTGAGGGGGCCCCCCGAGCTCCGCGCGGAGGTCTCCGAGGAGGTGCCGGCCGCCAGGGTTGAAGACGGAGTAGGCCGAGTACTCCCCCTCCCGCACGCCCCGCGCGAGGCCTGGCCCGAAGATCAGGGCCGTGATCGTGAGGATGATGTTCGGCGGAGAGCGAGGGGGGGAAATGAGAAGGAGAAGGCCTTCTGAGAATAGAAAAAGAAAAAAACACGTAAACATAAACTTTTGGCGCTCCGCACGGGTTTCTTGGATCCGCGCTGGACCCCCCTCCTTGGCGCGCGGAGCGCGCCAGGGGCCCAGGCGTGGATCCAAGAAATCCGCGCGGAGCGCCAAAAGTTTATGCTTATCTATTATTGTTCTTCTTCGACAGAAGGCGGCGGGACTTCTCAGAAGCCCCCACGCCTTCTGAGCAGTGATCTGCGTCTTCGGGGAAGGACCTAAGAGAGAACTCCTCGGAAAAGGCCGGGGGGACCCCCGGAACCATCTGAGAGAAGGCCTTCTCCCTCTCTCGCCCCCCCCCCCGCCGCTCCCCGCCGCGATGTACATCTGGTCCCCGCCGGTGAGCCACAGGCCCAGCGCCCACAGCGACGCTCCCGCGGCGATGTAGCGGCCGCCGTGCCACGGCGGCGGCGCGGCGGGCCCTTCCGGGGCGGCGATGGGCCCCGCCATGGCCCCCGGCGACGGCCTGGGCCGCCCTGGCGGGAGCCAGGCGGTGCGCCCAGGGCCACCAGGGCCACAGGGGATACCAGGAGGACGGCAGGGCGCAAAAGAGACCACGAGGACGGAGGACCAGGACGAGGACGAGGACGAGGACGAGGACGAGGACGACGACGGCGACGGCGACGACGGCGACGGCGACGGCGACGGCGACGACGACCCCCGGAGGGACCCCGAGGAGGGGGACGAGGAAGGGGATGGGGCAGGGGACGGGGCAGGGGACGTGGCCGTGCAAGCTGGACGCGGGCCAGGACGAGGATCCCCCAGTCAGGTGCCAAAAGCTGCCCGGCAGGGGGTCTGCAGCCCACCCGTCCCCCCGCACCTCCCGAGGAAGCTTCGAAGGCACCGCTGCCGCCACCCTTCCCGACTGCTCCCGCCTTGGGATAGACGACGACGACGACGACGACGACGACGACGACGACGACGACGACGACGACGACGACGACGACGACGACGACGACGACTAACGACGACGACCACGACGACGACGACGACGACGACCACCACGACGACGACGACCACGACGACGACCACGACGACAACGACGACGACGACGACGACGACGACGAGCACGACGAGCCCCCCTCCCCTCCTCGCCCCGCCTCTCCCCGGCACTGGGAACGAGAACGAGGATGAGGATCTAGGGATGGGAATGCGGCTCGAGATGCGGATAGGGACGACGACGAGGATGAGGACGAGGACGAGGACGAGGATGAAGTGGCGTGCGCGTGTGCGTGTGAGAGAGAGATGGGCCGCACGTGCCTGGCCCTGGCCTGCCCAGTCTGTCCAAGACCAGTGCGAGCCACCGTGAGCGATGATCTGCGGCCCGGCCGCTGCTGTCTGCGCGTCTCCCTGCGGCTCTGCCCGTGCGCGCCGCCCCACCGCGCAGTCGGAGCGAAGGGCCTGAAGAGAAGGCCTGGCGCCGGTGAGGGTGGTACGGGGAGGGAGGGGCCTGGATGCGGAGCACTCTGGACGCAAGATCCGCAGTATCCCCGATGCCGCCCGACAGCTGCCAAACACCACGGCGGCACGGAGGACAGACAGACAGACAGACAGACAGACAGACAGACAGACAGACAGGCAGACAGACGGATACCCACGAGCGGGCAGAGACCAGCCCTACGCAGGGCGGGGGTGGTTGGCACCGCAGTGCCTCAGATGCTCGGCTTCACGAACTTGAACTTGTCTTCAAGGGAGTTCCCGAGTGTGAGGAGGGACAGTAGCAGAACAGAGGAGAGGGGCAGCAGCAGAACAACCACCCCATCCACCACGAGGCCCGTTCCCCACACCCATTGAAGTCGTCCGAACCCGACCCCCCAACAGCGAGGGAGCGAGAAAACGTCGTCGTCGCCCGCCTCGCACAAAGCACGCGGCAAGCGGAGAGCGGAAATCGAGGGCAGTTTCGCCGTGGAGAGGGAGGGACCCATGGCCACGGGAGCGAAACGCTATGTTCGGCGGCGAGCCCGGGGGGCGGAAATGAGAAGGAGAAGGCCTTCTCGGAGGGCTCGGAAGCCCCGCGGCCTTCTGAGAAATTGTCTGAGCCTTCCCCGAAGACACAGAAAACCTCTCAGAAGGCCGGGGGGCTTCTGAGAAGCCCCGCCGCCTTCTGAGAAGGCCTCCTCCTTCTCTGTTCTGTTCTGTTACGCAGCTCAGGAAACACAAGTTTCAGCTGTTAGTGCACTCGCTAGAAGTGAAAAGGGCATGGACTTCCCGCGAAGCCTCATCTAGGGCAATGGCCTCCGCTCCGAAAGCTGAACACGGCGTGTCTATTTTTTTGGGGGGGGGCACCCTCCAAGCGCCACGAGTCAGCCTGGACGCGAAGTTATCGTGTCCGAGCTGCATTGCAAGCAATCGCCACGGAGAAACCCTCTCCGCGTGAATGCGCAAATAAAAAAAAACGAGTTAGACACTTGGGGTGCACGCCGAAAACAGCGGTCCAAAAGGCCCTGAACGTGTCTATGAGCACAGGAATGTCATGTCTATGAACGTGCCTCCTCCTTCTCACCTCCCCCCCCCTCGTCCTCCGCCGATCTAAGGCCCGCGGGCCTGCTCAAGCTCCCCTTCGCGCTTGGCCTGCGCCGCCGCCGTTGCGCGGTGGACAGAGGCGACGATCGAGGGCAAGTCGCCAGGGCGGAACAATGCGCTGCAGGCTGAAATGTTTGGCCACCTGCTCGGGGGCGTCCTCGAAATGCCATTGAGCTATCGGCCGCCGTCATCCCTCGACCTCCACGGAGGAGGACAGGTCGAACTCGCGGGCACCGCTGGCGAGACCACCGCGCGATCCAACCGCGCTTGCCTCTGCCTCGTCGTCGTCGGTGTCGGCCCTGCTTGAGATGGGCGCCCCTCGACGGTAATCGCGGCTCATCTGGGGGCGATGGAAGGGGACCCTGACTGCTGCAGCACGTCTGTCGCGTCCATTTCCACAATAGCGTTCGCATGCGCCCCGTCGGCCTCAGCGGCCTCCTAAAGGGGGTCACCATCTCCGGTGTGAATCTGCGGCAACTCCGCCAGCTGACGCTGAAGTTCCGGGCGCTGGCGCCACAGCTGCATCTGCTCTGTCTCGTGCCGCCGCATTGCGGCGGTCCTGTCAAGAAGCCCAACGACTTGCGAGGGCAGCTTGCCGACGGTCTTGGTGACCTGCGGCGGATCAGCTTCGGAGAGGGGCTCCTCCTCCTCGGCTTGCGCGCTCCTGTCGAGCTGCCGCCTCCTCTTGGCCAGGAGAGGTCGCGCTCGCGCCTGTACCTCAGGGGCCCCCTGAGTGCCGCGCGCGTCCGAGACGATGCCCATGGCAGCAGCAGGAGGTCGGCAGCGCCAGCGCACTCTCCGAGGGCCTGGGGCTAGCCAGGGGAGGCTGGCGCCCGCCGCTGCCCAAGGAGAGCACCTCCGGGTGCCGCGGTGGCCGCCAGGCCGAGGGAGCCTCCAGCGCCCCCGGAAGGCGCCCGCGGCAGGCTCATGCTCACCGCGCCCCCCGGGCCCCCATGGGGCCCCGAGCTCATGCCACCGCCTCCCGCGCCAGGGGAGCGGCGCACTGTCTCACCGCTCGCTGGGCGCCGCGACGGAGGCACACGGCCTCGTTGAGCCAAGATGGCCACGGACCTCCCCCCCTCCTCCTCCTCCTCCTCCTCCTCCTCCTCCTCCTCCTCCTCCTCCTCCTCCTCCTCCTTATCCTCCTCCTCCTCCTCCTCCCCCTCCTCCTCCTCCTCCTCCTCCTCCTCCTCCTCCTCCTCCTCCTCCTCCTCCTCGGCGCAGTCCTGACGCACAGGTTAATCCTGCACACGACCACGAAGCCCCGGACCCCTCGGCGGATGGCACGTCGGGGTCGGGGCTATCCTGCAGGATCAAACACCCGTGCAGGGTGAGACCTGGCTGAGCTCGTCTCTCCAGCACGCACCAGATCGACCGTGCGCCACGGCTGGTCCAGGGCGCACCAGACCTTCTTGACCTGGCACCGCCCCCGCGCAAGATTAGCCAGAACCCGAGCACCCCACGAGAGCGGAACTGGCTGACCCGAGCACGGCGACGATAGCGCGGGGCAGGAGCCGAGTCCAGCGGCGCCGCACACGGCGCAAGCGACGCCACAGCGTCCAGACTCGGCGAGACGAAGAGGGTGCACGACATGCGCACGACCGCCCGAGAGGGCCACGCGCACCGAGGCCGCGCCCGCCCGCCTGAGGGAGAGCGGCGTGCACGGCGGCTCGGGAGGAAGAACGACCAGCGGAGGCTCGCGGGGGTTCGAGGCCTTCCTGCGCTGGGCATCAGGAAACACGAAGAGTGTCGGCGGCGACGAGAGCGGGCCTCGCGCAGGCGACCCACGAAGCGAGATCGCGAAGCGCCAGGGCCTTCTTCTCGAGCTGCGCCCGCAGGCCGGGCGGGAGGCGAGAGAAGTCTGACGTTTGCTTGGCATACTCGTCGGCCAGATCATTGCCAGCCTTGTGGAAGGCTGGGATGGCTCCAGACTGGGCGTGGGCCTGGGTGGCGTGGCCTTTGACCTTGACGAGGCCGCCCAGACAGCTGATCCCGCCCCAATCAGAAATCCTATGCCAGACAATGCGCCAGAGCTCAGCCCAGTGCGACTTGTGCGACTTGGAATCGCAGCAGTTGACGGGCCCGCGCTCCAGCACACCGTCGACGACGTAACTGGAATCACTGTAGAACACAGTACCTGGCATGGAGACGCACAGGGCCCGATGAAAGGCCGTCAGCTCGAGCGCATCGACGTCAGCGGCGAGATGCTCGAAAGAGCCAGCATAGACGGCGACGGCCCGATGACTGGTCGGAAACCTGGACGCAGGCCTAACCCAGGCCCTGATGCTGGACCTGGAGATGAGGAATCCCCTGACTGCCGTCCAGGAAAACATGACCCTGCAAAAAAACCTTCGCCCAGGAGCCAGAGACCCGGGGGGCGAGGAGCAGGGGGGAGAGCAGCAAGCGGCGCCAGCAGCCTCTCGGCGAGGAGGAGAGGAGAGGGTTCGACAGCAGCGGCGGCAAGGCGACCGAGGTAGGAGGGGGGAGTCTCGCCGACCATCGCCTCGGCGCAGCAACACAAAAGGCGCCTGTGCGCCAGGGTGCCAGGCGCCGAGAGACACGCTTGAGACAAGAATTCTGGTGACACGTTGCACTCGTGCTGACGCTCTGGCGGCCACTGACCGCCAGAGACGACACTTCGAAGATACGCCGCTCCTTGAGCAGAGGTGCGCTTGCTCCGAACTACCTGCTTGAGAGGGCGCAGCATCAGGCCCTCGCGAGCCTCGGGGACCTCCAAGTGGTCGGCAGCCCTTTTCCAGATCCACCCGTCGACCACCCGATACAACACCAACCCGAGGATGCGAGGAAAGGTCACGAGGCGAGAGGGGACCAATCAACGGGCGCGACCACTGGAGCCCCTGAAAACTGATGCCTCGACGCATCGCGGCGGTGACGCAGGCTGACAAAAGGGGCCGCAGATGCTCTGCCAAGGGGGCCCGTGCTCGGACAGACGTCTCCCAGGCGCCCTCGAGCCCCCCTTCCAAAACGGACAGCGGCAGCCGTGCGCCCCAGACAGCAGCAGCGAGGGCCAACAGGGGGCCCTTGTTGAGACGGCACGCGGGATCGATCATATCCACACCGGACATCTGCAGCAGGAGCGACACAGACCGCCCATGCACTCGCGCCGCTGCGACTGGAGCCTGTCGGCGCCGTGCCTCACGCAGCTCAGCGCCGCTGGTGCCGAGCACTTGGTGGCCGTGAGAGACCGAGGAAAGGACAGCCGATTGAATCATGCGATGCGCCTGCCTACGTTTCAACTG